AATCAAAGTCGGCAATCTCACTCCTCTTTCCCATTGCCAGCAGTTAGAAACAAGCCAGATTACCCTGAAGAATTTAACAATTTAAGGCACTGTGTGCGTTTCGTAAAAACCTGCTGTTGCTTTTTCCAAAATATAGCATGTGCCAATTTATTCCCTTTTTTTCTATCATAACTTAAAGTTATAAATTACTAGGGAGCAACTGAAGAAAAATGACAAACTAAGATGCCTTTTTAATTTTTTTCCAGCTGTTATAATACACTCATTCTAGTTCACAAAAGAATAATGAAAATCTGTGTTTCTTATAAGATTAGGGAATATTCTCAAATCCCTTTATTAAAAAGCAGAGTAAGTGGTGATCACTGACCTATTTGCTGACCAGGTAAGTGTACACGCTTTTAATAGACCATTCGGCAGTCCCTTTATATGTACACTTGGAAATAGTCCTGTCATGTTGTAATGACCATGCATTCAGCATTTAGTTGTAGTTTTAATTAGCACAGTTTTTCCACAACAAAATTTGCAGCACACGGAAATAAAACTCATGTTTACTTGTGTGCATATGTAGCCATTTCCTCCTCCGAGCTTGCTCTCCCTTCTGTCTTCTTATTTCCCACCTCTTTCTGTCTCCCTTCGTCAAGACATTAGATATGATGATTTCCCTCACTAGTCATCTCTGGAAGTTGCTTAACTCTTTGGAGGACAGGATTTCTGTCAGAGCACTGGAATATGAACAGAAATAGCTGTTATTTCTCTGTTGGCTCTCTTCTGTATTCAGGCTAAAATATTTTGTCGTCTTGTGCTGTTTGGAACTGATTCGAGCTTGACCTGGGACGTTTCTCCACCCAAGAAACAAATCTAGAGTGGATGGGTAGCATCCTCCCTGGGCAAAGGACGCGTTTATTTTCCATTGGACAAGTCCAGAAATGCAGAATGAGGTTGTTGCTGAAGCACAATCAAGGAGCAAAATGCCGTAATTAATGCCTATAAAAAGGATATTAAAGTATCCAGGGATTTAGCGTAAGAGCAGGACACGGCCCTTACAATTAGTATTTCTGTGCAGTTGCATCTTAGCCTGTTTGAATGCCGTGTTTAGGGAACTGTATTAACCATCTTTTTTTCTGCATGAACCATGCAATGTTAAGGCAGGCTTGGGAATGGGCTAGGAGAGGTTTCATGGTTTAAATCATTTGCAGTGTATGTGATTTCCTTTGCCTGTCTTCTGGTCACTGCCTCTTCACTGTAAATTTGCCTTCTGCCTAATTTCTGTTCTAGCTAAGCCCAGTTTTGCTCAACAGTCTTTGTTACATGAATAGCTATGGAACTCTGTAGCCACCATTTTGTCTATTCTTCACTCAAACAGCTAGGTTCTCCAGTCATTTACCCATCTGTACTTTAGCAAGAGAGATAATTTTATGACATAGTCTTGGAGAGACTTAAATATTCCAAAACCTGGAGGAAAAGAGCTCTCAATTTTTTATAGTTTCAGTCTCGGGCATTTGTAGGATTTTACATGCATTGGTACAGTCGTAAATAATGTCAAAATAATGACTTTCTTTGATATGATGTTGTGGCTATAGAGAAACGAAATACTTCTTGAGAAAGATCTTTTCGGACAAATCTGACATCTTTATTCTTGAGTCCTTGTAATTGTAACTACCTTTTATTTCTTAACCAAACTTTTTTTCCAAAATGTCTCATCCATCTCCACTTGAAGCTGAAAAGAAGAGATCTAAAAAATTCTTTCTTATATATCTTTAAAAAGGTATTTTCTTTTTGTTTGGAAAGATAAGAATACAAAGATATTTTGGAGTGTTGTGGCTTCTGAAGATCTAGTATAAAGGCTCCAACTTCTTTTATTCAGTTGCCCAAAGAAGAAAGGAATAAATATCCCAAATCAGATATAGTGTGTTTGGTCTTTGATAACAACCCATACTGAATGGATCAGATGACATTTTTGGGGCTGTTACAGAATAGTCTGGCTCTAAATATGAAATATATCTTTAAAATCTGCTTCTGACAGGTACTGATATTCGGCAATGGAAAAAAAAGGTGCACCTTTAGACCTTTTGCAGAAATGCTGGAAGTGCTGTGGAACCAGAAGATTGCAGATGGGTATTTAAACTCACATGTCTAAAGCTCAAAGCTACGCAGAGAGGTGGACTGTTGCAAAGCAAGTAGCTGGAAGTAGTTGGGGGTACACAGATTATCACTGCAAAGCCAAAAAAAGTGCCTTCATTCAGGGGATACCTTTAGGTTTTAAGAAACCTCGCTTTATGTGCCTTTATTTTCTCGCAAACTTCATGAAACTCAAGTGAACTTTGTAGTTGTGGTATCAGCCAGATGAGGAGCTTCTGCAACCAGCTTCTGCTTGCCAGCCTGCTGCAGTCAATCTGTGGTGCTCCAAGGGCTGTTTGGTCTATATCTCCCAGTGCGAAGTACTTGGCTCTTCTGAAGGCATTGTAGCTGTGGCAGAAAAGTATATCCAGGTAATTTCTATGCCTTGTGGAAGTAGCAAAGGCCATAACTGTAATCAAGGAAAAGAAACCTTTTAGCCTAGCAAAAGATTACTTTTGCAAGGGGAGATGGCATTTGTTTCCAAGTTTGCAAACCAGTATGTTGAATTTCATGAATGCACTTAAAATGTCCTGCATAGGTATGGAATTGGGATAGCTCTGTTAAAAGCTGAAGCCAGGTGAGGCTGCCCTGCCTGTGAGTGACTCTGCGCGAGCATGTTCTGTGCTCCACTTGGATGTTGCAGCTTGCGGAAGAGGAGTGGGGTTTTGGTCGTAGTGTCTGTGGTTGTATTTGTGGTGGCTTTGTCAGTTCCGAACTGGGAGGTCTCCAGGCTCGTATATCAGCAAAGGGTAGTTGCTATCGGCAATTGCTTCACTGATGGTGAAGGATCAGCAAGATTATTAGGAGGGAGCATTGCTTCTGTGTCCTTTGTGGGCTGTCATGACCAGCGGTATGCACCAGCAATACCATGGAGGTGATGGGGTTCGTTCATTTTCTAAGGCTAGGCCGGTGCAGAAGTCGTACCACATCAGGCAGCACACGCTGCCCAAAATGGTGTTCCTCCCCGTCTCTGAGAGAGGCGGCAAATGGGATGCAGACCCCCCGCAGGTCTTCCCTAAGGGCGCTGCCTGGGCCATGCTGAGCAGCGCTCTGCATTGGCAGGGCGGGGTGGTTATTGTACTGTCAGTGGCCTGCCCCAGATATTGATTTCAATCTCCTGGGCGGAAAAAAGTCATATTTTTTCCCTGCCACAGAAGGAATCTGTTTCTTTTCATTACTCTCTGTATATCAGATCCTAGCCTGAATGTATGTAAAGAATAGGTGGTGCAAGATCAATTTTAAGTTTTAATTATTTTTTCATCTCTTTCAATGACAAACGTTGTATTTTTTTCTGTGTGCTTTTCTAATAAAAAGTAGAAAATGTAAGGAATTTTTCAGCTTAAACATTTTGCCTGCTGTCACAGTCACTTTATTTTATCAGGCTTGATGGTAGGGTACAAGACAAAAAGGAAAGAAGAAAAGAAACAAGAAAAGGGAATCTTTTAACAATGATAGTGTTTAAGGTTTATTGTGTGCATTTGATTGCTTTCTTCATTTCATTTTCAGTAAGCAGAATAGAAATACTATTATGAATTGGCAATTTTTATTTCATTTAAAAATATCATCTCTTTGTTCTTGCTGAAAGTGTTGACAATGCGGCCTTTGTTTAGTTTAATTAACTCATGTTACAGTACTGAATTGAAACACACTCAGCATTAAATCAAATAAAATAATTTTTAGAACTCTTTTCCATATCCAGAAAATAAAAAGAAATAAAATTATTAAACCCTCTGAGAAGCTGGAGGAGAAACTGGATATTTTTAATGGAATATTTTGAAGTGCCATTTTCATTTTTATTTTCCATGGTAGGAATGCCAAAAAAACAGTCCAAAAAGTCATGAAATCCCACTGAAAAGCAGATGCTATGAAGTCATTCTAAGTCCTCATATGTTTATAATAGTATTACATGATGTTACATGTTTTGTGCTTGAGAGCTACAAGGCTTAAAGAGCTTTAAGATACTGATAATGCCCTTTTAGCCTATGAAAACTGGAAGGATGATGGAATCCATATTTCATGTGATGGCGGCCAAGTCTACTAAGCTTTGGTTTTAGCTCAAATCTCCAAAGAAGCAGCAGTGCCTTATGCAAACGAAACACGTACCTCTTTCAAATAATCTCAAATGACACCCAAGGAACAAGTGAAAGGAATATAGGAGAGACACTGACATCTTAGAAACTTTTTCCTGCAACATATTGAAAAAGTAGGGCTCACTGGCCAAGGACTGCACTGTTACAGATGGCATCATACTTAACAGTATATCTGGAAATTAGCTTTAGCACCTCCAGAGAAATGGCACCATTTTTAAATAGACTGTACAGCTACAGAGGCGTCTGTTTGAACAGTGGGCTTAACTCCTGTTTGCAACAGTAGGAACTTTGGTCTTAAATTAGAATAGGTCCAGCAGACCGATGGAGTGTGGGGGCTACGCAAGGAAAGAATTTGATCCCTCGAGGACAAATATTATGTTCTGTGCCCTGCGTGCTACAAAAGGAGGCTTCATTTTGTTACGCACTGATTCATTTTGGAATCTTACCTCCTTTAATAAAGTTTGTTTATGACGGGATATGCACAGATCCAACTGATTTGCCTTTGGGAATTTGGAATTCTGTGGTCCCCCTTGCTTTACATTATGTATGGTGGTGTACAGCAAGCAGAACGTGCCACGCTGCCCAGGTTGTTGTGCTATTTTATAGCTATTCCATAAACGTAAAGGGCAGCAGAGAGAAAAACTGCACTTAGCCAGTGATTTTTATGAAATAGAGTGAGTGGAGTGCAGTCATAACTAAGTGTGGAAAAAACCACAAGCGGCGGGGGGGGTGGGGGGGTGGGGGTGATTTGGGAGAACGGTCTTTTAGTTCAAGTACACAACAGGAACGAAATCAAAGCAAGCAGTGTATGTCCTAGGATCAAAAGGTTCCCTTGGTTGTTTTGGGAGGGTGGGGGAAGGACATTGTCACTTCTCTGTCAGTAGCTTTATGGCTGGAGTTGTGCCCAGTGGTGTGGGTGAGTATTTAACCTTGTTCTCATATGAGAAGGGTGGCATTTACTCACTCTGCATACTATCAGGTGTGTCAGGAGGCACATTTTTTGATGCAGCTCTGTTCTGCTGTCTCTTCTGCACATCCCCATGGTGTTGGCTTTGCCGGGGAGGTACACCCTGGCTTCACAGGTGCCCTTGCTCCTGGTGCTTGGAGAGGAACACCAGTGCTGTACAGGGAGGGGGAAGATGTGTCTACAACTTGTAAAGTGGAGGTTGCCTAGGGCATGATCCTGACTGAGATTAAATCTGCTTCTCACTACTGCAGAACCTGAGCAGGGAAAATCCCACCCGGTCTCATTCAGATCTTTGAAGCATTGCCCTTTCCTCATACCTCTGGATTTTTTCTTCCTTTTTTTCTGCCCGTTACCCATAATTTTTTGGCAGCAGGTTTTCTGTCCCCTCACCTTTTCCTAATGCAGTTGGCAGGTGAGTGTTCTCTTGAGCAGATCTTGCCATCTGGAACAGTTTTCCTCCGCTTGGTTGGCTTTCATCACATTTCACCTCCAGATGAGCGTGCCAGTATACCTGGCCCGTAGTGTTAGCCCAACAGCCCAAGCTGACCCTGTCTCTAGTCACCATGAATTATCTGCCAGGGAGGAAGCTAGCATTTAATCTCGCCTCCTACGTCTCTGCGACTGCAGCTGTGTCTTAATCATGCAGTAGTGGTATCTCAACATATTGGTGCAGGAGTGCAGCTCTTTGGGACCTCCTGTTATTTAACAAAAGGTTCAGCATCTCCTTTTTGGAGTCTTGCATGAGCTCTGGAGGTCCTTTCCTGGAGCACTGTATGCTGTGAATGTGTTGGTAGCTGCAGTTAAACCAGTCCAGCAAAGCAGGTGCTCTGGACAATGCACTTTGTGTTGCAGCTATAGACAGTCTGTGGGCAACTGCACAAACACTTGGTTTTGTTTGAGAGATCCAAGAGAAATATGAAGACTATGGAATGGCATTGTCTCTTTCTTACCCGTATATATGCTGGGATGCTCATTGGGTAGTTGTTCATACCTGATTAACGCTGCTCTTCTCTCAGTTATTAAGGATTTTTCTCCCAGATTCAGAATTTACTTGTGACTTCTGTCTTGAGTTTTAAAATCCATAGCTTTCCACAGCTGGCAAATTTCAACCACAAAACGCCCTTCGTTATTGTTTCACTGGTGCAGGATCTTTATCCTGAAATGTTGGAACACGTAAGCCTTTTGTCTCATTATTCCCCTTTGCAGATGCGCAGCTTTGTTAGTTTGTTTGTTTGCTCCCTAGTCACTAGTGTGAAGGGCATAGCTCTGCGAGTAATCATAGCTACTGCAGAGGCAAAAAACGCCTTTATTCCATTTACAGCATCTTGTCAAAAAACACTCAATACCTGCATTACCTGACAGCCCCTGAAAGACGGCATGTTTACACGTTCAGCATTTTCTCTGTGGAGGAAATAAGCAGTCACTTACAGGTTATACCATTCTTACCTGGATAGAAAATCAGTTAAACTGTGTTCCGGATTCTGAACGAAAAAAGTCAATAATGTTTTCTCCATTGCCCCCTGGTTACAGCTAACAATGGTATATAGTTAGGGGGTCAGGGTGGCAAAGTCACTGTCTCAGTGGCTGGAAAAAATTGAGATTCCCAATTTGTGGCCAAATGCTATCATGGTTACAAGGTGTTTCATCAGTTAAAACGCATTCGCTGGATGTGTTTGTATGATCTGTCAGCCTGAAACGTAGCACAAAAGCATCAAATGAGCACAAATGGAGATACCTCAGGTGCTTCAAAATAAGATGTCACTGTGATGAAAAATCAGTACTGAACTCCAGCAGCTCGATTCAAAGAAATTAAATTGGCTGATTTTTCCAGCTGTCCAGGCAACAGGGAAAATTAGCAGAAAAGCTCGCAGACTAAAAAGGGAGGTAGTCAGTAGGGCTGTGTCTCAGCATCTCCCCTCTCTGGGGTGCCGGTGCCTGAGTGTAGTGCCTCTGTCAGCCCAGGACCCAGATGGTCCAGAGAGGATGGAAAACTGAGCGGTACTTGCTCTTTTGAGTGTACAGCAGCTACACTGCCTTTTGTTTTGCTTATTCCTGAGTGTCGAAAAGGCTCCACAGGAGACACATTTTTGTTAGTCATAGCCCAACATGCATGGAAGGCATTGAAGGGACTTTCCCTCACGGCTGCCTTGCATGGGATGTCTAGGACGTGAGGGTAAGCATTTAACCCCTTCCAGCACAGAGAGGGACTTGAGCTTGAATTTGTTTCCAGTGTGCTCTGATTGGCAGGGTATGAGGCCAATGGTAAGCACTGTCACAGCCCCTCTCCCTCTCTGGTGGTTGCGTTGGTCTACAAAGCTGGACTTCCAAAAGAGACCAGAGTTGTGCTCTCATTTTCTGAGGCCTCCTCCTTGGGACAGCAGATATTTTACCATTCCTCTAACACGAGCGTAGCTACCAACTCCCACACTGGCAAAACTGGCATCCTCTGTGGTTTTGTTTGCTTATCTCTTTGTCTTCCAAGGCAGTAACTGTCCAGTGTGTAGTAAGTACAGCTATTGTGGTCACTATACAACTGTCAGTTTTTTTAATGCCTGTCTCATAATAAATCTGCTTGCACATATAAACCCGAGTCTTGAACTGCACGGTCCTCACCAGATGACTCGGTAACCACGCAGTGGTACTGCAGCCCCCCACAGTGTCAAGGGCCAGCTGGGACACAGCTGCTTTTCAGGTAAGTGTCCAATAGTTTGGATGCTTTTTTAGCTTGGTTTTGAATCTGCTGGCCCTGCAGCATGGGCAAGTTTGCTTTAAAAAAGAAAAGAAAGAAAAAGAAAAAAGTCCTTAAACAATATTTCTAGTATTGTCTGCTTTCATCATTACATAGGATGTGGAGGGGAATAGATTTTCTGGATGCAGTTCTGCTTGCGGATCCAGCTGGCTCTTGAAGTGTGTGAGCATGAAAAGCAGATGATAAGAAATACATATATATCCGGTACCTATCTAAAGGAACCCAAGTTATCTTAGAAACTGATATATACAGAGATCACATAATCTGCTTGTGAAACTGTTCCCTCTGGCATTATATGCAGCCAATGTTTAACAGTACTGAATTGAAAAGTGTGATAGTTTAAGACACAGGAACTCTTTCCAAATGAACCTTCAAGGGGAGCTTAGTGGAGAAAAATTCACGTTGAGATTTGGCTGAAGAATAGGGTTAATGCCATTTGTTCTTATCACAACTGCTACGGGATATTTAACGACCACAGGTAGTCGAGGCCTGGGTTTTATATCTGATCCTGGAGGCAGCAGCGCAGTGCTATGTGTCAGATAGCCGGTACATCTTCCTTCTTTTAATGAGGTCTCCCATCCAAGGATGGGTATAGCCTGCTCTTGTGCAGCTTGCGAATCTGACTGGATCAGAGCACGCAGCTGAAATAATTGGAGAAGAATCTGCATGTGGCAGGGAAGGAAATCAGCTGCACGTATTCGCATCCCGAAGCAAGAGTTAGCGTAGCACTGCTTTTTGGCAGGGATTTGGTCACAGCTTCTGGTGTCAAAACCAGCTTGCTCTTTGCTAGCCTGCACCTGTAGTCAGCTGTACCCACATCCAGCTCATTTGAGAGGAGAAGGCAGGGGAGGGCTCCTCATTTGGATCACACTGGCACGTTCGCAGCTCATGTCTGACAAAGCCATTTAGCACAAAGATAGCTCAGATTTTGCCCCGGTGTGCAAAGTTTGCTCTCTGAACGCTGCGATGTTCTCTAGCCAGTCTTAGAGATGGGAAAACACAGATGAGCCTTAACCAGGCCTGAAGAGGCTGGAGCACATCAGTTGCTTGCCATATTGATGAAACACCTGGGACATTCATTTTGAAACCTAAATGCAGGCTGTTCACCTGTATTGCCAAGTACGACAGAAGCTTCCTTCTGGCTGGCAGGGTGGTATTAATTTAAAGAGAGCACCATCTGCAGGGCCTTGGAGAACAGCAGTCGGAGGAGAGAGGTAGAGAGGTCGCCGGAAAAAGTCTCGTTCTGATCTGGGGGCCTCACCGCTCCCATCCATTACCTATCATTTCTAATTAGCGGATGTCTCTTGGGGAAAGCTGCTCCAATTCGCTTTCTTACAGGTGCTTTTCTTGCTAAGAGCTGTTGTTTTTGCTGAGCCTCCTAAGCTTGTTTCGCAGGCTTTCACAGGCATTTGGAGCGGTAATGGTCTCAGTGACCCAGTAATTAAAGGAGTGCTGTACCTCCTCACTGCGGAGAGCTGCCCCTTTGTCCTTTCTCTTTCTTCTCTCTGCAACGCCACTACCAGATGGTCGGAGATTTTTCACCCTTTCAAAAGCTTTGTGTTTTTCCCATCTCATCAACCATGTCTCAGCCATGCTTAATTAGCTTAAGGCTTTTCAGCCCCCCTTCCTCCCCATTCGCCCCCCCAGGAGATCAGTTAAGGACTTGAACAATTTCAATAAAGAGCTTGGAAAGCAAATCCTTAGAGGCTAGGCATAGCTGCAGGAGAATGTAATGTTATTTAGTGCTGGGGACCAGTCATTGGTCCTTTCTTCTCTCCCTTCCTTCTCTCTGTCTGTCTGTCCTCCCATCCATCCTTCTGTCCATCTTTCCTTTCCCATTCTTATCTCTCAGAATATTCAGGGATGCCCCTTGGTTCTCAGCAGTGTTTGGCAGCCTCTGATGGCTGGTGGTTTTCAGAGGAGGGCTGTCGCCCTTAGGCCAGCACCAGAATACTGTTGCTTTTAACCTGTTTTAAGCTGTTTAGGTCCCCCTGAATAAAAAATGGCAAACATACTTAGCTAACCAGTGCTAGGAGACTGTTGGGTTGGGATATTTCGGTTTAGGGGGGGTGGTTTGTTGTTTGCTTGATACCCAGACTGGTTTGAAACTAGCTTGTAAACTTTATTTACAGATCAGAGCAGTTGAGATGAAAGCTTGGTTAATTAACCGAAAAATAAATTTGCATCTTGCTTTCTATTTGACATTGAACAGCATTGTTTGTGCATTGTCACATACGCACTTTTATTATTAATCTCTGAGCTTTAGCCATACGACTGCAAATGAGGTTTTTAAAAAAACGAAAACCAACTTTTTCCCTTCTTCCCTCCCTCCCTCTCTATAAAGCATGAGAGCAAGCTGTTTAAGCATGTGAAGCGCAGATTTTGTGTGGGATGTCAGATACCTCAGAGGTACCTGTGGACATTTGCCATCTAATTGACTTCAGCAACTCGTGTTTCGCTTTTACAGGCAAATGAGAGCACCTAGCCATCAGGTGTTTGCATCACTAGAATTAAATACCTACTAATTTAGCCACTCTGGAGATAAATATTTAGATCTAATTCAAATGGCTGAAAGTGTCCTTGGATGATGGAAAAATGTGGGAGGGGGTTTCTTCACACAGAGGACATGACCTCAATTACTGCAGTTTTCTCCCTGACGCTCCCCTTCGTGGTATATATAAAGTAGATGTTGCTGGGTGCACACTGCCCAGAAGAGAGCAGCGCTTTATATAAGGCTAGATTGAAATGCTGCTCTTATGCTATTCCAATTCTTGGTATTTTTTAAGCCATCAAGGGAAATAAAATGCAAAGAGTGTGTCTAAACGAATGCACGATGTAGTTTTGTGTCGCGGGGAAGGCCTGTAACATTGCTACCTCCATTTGAGTAACTCAGGCTGTCGTTAAACAAAGAGGAGTGCAGTTCCCCGGTGTATTGACATTGCTATTTACAGACCATGTGGTAATCTTTGAAGTGCTAACTGGCTTTTTTTTAAGAGAGATGCTGCGTTTTTCTTTTATATTTGTTTTCCACAAAAAGGAATGTTAGTATTTTTATGATGGCTGGTGCTTAGTGGAGCTCCTCTGTGTAAAGATAACAAATGAGTTATGCGACCTGACATTCTCCCTGGGAACGCGCTCAGAACGAAGCAAGCCAGTGGCGTTTCAAAGTCTGCTTTTAAAGTAGCTGGTTTTATACTTTGTTTATCACAATTGCTAGGAAATGCCATTTCTTTGGTATTTTGCACCTTCTCTTAATTGAGTAGGGTGTGGGAGAGTCTTTAGGCAAAAGACCCCAGGACCCAGAGGACGAGTAGGCAGAAATAAGTTGCACCACTTGAAGCTGCTCCATGCTTTACTGTATCCCTATCCTGTCTGATAGCTTGAAGTAGTCAGGCCTGCTGCTGCCTTTGGAAACGAAGTGAGCTCTAACCCTTCGAGAGCAACTGCGGCAGGTACAAATTGCCGGGTACACTTCACGATTACTGCGTCGCTTGTCCTCCCGCTGTGTTGCTGCTGGGAGTTGCTGAGGAGGCATTGCCTGGAGCAGGATGGGCAGTCACCTACTGAGCAGCCCTGCTGCTGGTGATGTGTGTCCTCACGTGGGGAATAAATCAGAGCTGGGAGGATACATCTGTAGAGAAGCTGGGGGAAGGGACAGGAGGCTGGTCCAGCCTTGGCTGAGCTCAGCCAGGGTGGCCAAGGGCACCAGAGAGCCCCCAAAGCCTTCGTGACAAGGTTTGTGCAAGTTCTGTGTTTCTACAAAATACTTTGTCTTTCATCCAACGCTATATATCACCAGGAATTTTGTTTT